TCAAATAACATTTTCCAAGAATGGCTCCAAATTTTTCGATGAAAATTTGCATGGACCGCGGTTTCCTCTTCCATAATATTCCTCAAGTCGTATTGCAATTCTGTTCGCGGACCGACAAAATTGATAAATATGAAAACAAGCGTTAGGTAGCAGCTACGGAGGGGGTGAGGCTAGCCTAGACTGAAGAGATTAGACATTTTACTAATGCTAGAACGTCTGTGCTATTCTACAGTAGTCCTAGTTTACAGTTTATACGGTCTTCTATGTAATGAAAGAGTTGCAGGTGACTCCAATGCAAGTGTAGACAAGTAGCTCGGGAAGAACGCCTGGAGACCATGGACAGATTAGTTGTATTTGCTCCGCGATCTTAAAAGTCTTCACATTATTGGTTGTTTTACTAGTAATTAATTGCGAAGTCTGTTCAAATCAAATGGTTAGGCAAGCAGCACGAATACAGGAATTTGTCTAAGTTATGTCATTTCTGTATTGCAGTTATCTCGTACATGGGAGCTTGAGTATCATATAAATGTATCTGTTCATTAATTCAAAACGTGCATTACCGCCAATTTGAAACCGACCAAAATGGCTCAGAGCAACAACCATTGCCACTGTAATGTCTCTGACCGGGAGGTCCAAAGGTTCGAGTCCCGACAGGGGCTTGAATTTTCTCCCCCTTTCTAGCCCAGCGGCAGCTTAGCTTGGTGGACATGTGCCTTCCACACAAAAAACAAATTAAAAATTGTAGAAGAACGTAAATTGTGAACATGAGTTTTGTAGGTTCGCAAATCTTTTTGAATCGTGTCACATCCCTTCTTCATGGAGTACTTTGCGGCTCATCCGAAGAGTATGAGAAAACGGTCGACGTTGGGATATGAATCTCACGGGAGTCACGTGCTGTACACGAACTGCAGATGAGTTCTCGAAAGAGCAATTTTAATTGGCCAATTCGTACCTCAGTTGTGTGGAGAGATTCAACGTTAATAGTAATAATGATTACTAAATATTTACCTGTATCTTTTACATGTGTTCACGTTTCCTTGTTATTTTATTTTTGCGGCGCACCCACCATGTTTGGCGACAGTTGTTACGTGGGCCTCTGTATATTCTACTAACATTCTTCGTGTACCTTTCTTCAATGTGTGGGCAGGGTGCCTCGTCTCTCCTCAACGTTAATTGTAGTAATCATTACTAAAATATTTACTACTCGCAACCTGTTTTATAAGTATATTTCACATTTCCTTGTTAAACTATTTTTGCGGCACACCCATGACGTTTTGCGACACAATCCTTTGAGAGCCACTCTAGCTTGTACTACCCTTCTTGTCTTTTTATTTCTAGTATACGTACGTATATAGTAGTATGTACGTAATATACGTAGTATAGGGAAAGTTATGTGATGCTTCGGAAAAACGATTTCGAGATTTCAAGGAAAATACAAGTTTTGGGGTCCCCTGATACCGAAAAAGTGTTGTTTTAAAACGACGGTCCATCTGTTTGGTGCCTATGAACACTACTAGCGCCTAAACCATGATTAGGATTTTTTCCAAATTGAAGAAACCTGGGTCGATCTCGCTTGAGTTGAATCTTTGAGATTTCGAAAAAAAATCTTTAAAATGTTGGAGTACTTTACTCGAAGCCCCCGGACGTTTTCATAATTTTCTCAAAAACGGCTCCAAATTTTTTCTTTAATTTCTTGCAAGAATAGAGTAAAATACACTTATAAAGGTGGCATACGTCTGAATTTGAGATTTAACACTGAATTTTCGAAAATTTCAAAAGTTCAAAATTTTTCGGGAGTCTAAAAAATAACAATAACAAGATTTTGGTAAAAAACGCTCAAAATTTATTCTTTAAACTTGTGGTAGGGATAGTGTTAAATTTATTCTATAAGATGACATAAACACCATATTGCTCTATTCTTTTGTTTTTTTCAAAAATTACAAAAATATATTTTTTTGACTTGTCTCTCATGTCGTTAATATTTGTAATAGCGGCAATTTGTTCACATTATTGTATTTATGAGTACATATGCTTTAAATAATGTCAAATAAGGTGTCTCGAAAACCACAGTTTTACTAGCTGAAAAATCCGCATTTTCAGAAACGATTAAATGTCATTTTCTCAAAAACCGCTCCAAATGCTTTCTTCAAACATATCGAAGAGATAATGATAATTGCACCCTTTAATTTGACGTTAAGTTCATTTCATTTTTTTTCTTCTAAAATTACACAAATGTACATATTTTAAAGGATCTCTCACGCCTTTGATATGCACATTTTCAGCACTATTGTATTTGTCAGATAAAGTATTTTTAATTACTTAAAATTAGGTTTTTCGAAAACAAATATTTTCTGTGAAAAATATCTTTTCATTTCGAATTTGACGGAGTGACAGACGGATAGGCGGACTGACAGACGGACAGATAGACGGACGTTTATGAAAAAGAAACAGTAATTGTTTGGACATCAGGGGACCCAAAATGATATCACGTTTATGACTCGGTATATAGGTACGATTGCCCGGACAAGCAAAGATTTGCCAACCTTGCTCGCTAGTTTTGACAGGTAGTTTTGAGTGTCCGATCAGGAGAATATAAAATTGTTATTAACATTATACCTAGACTCTCGCATAGGTCTTGCAGGGTCAGTCTACATTGACGCACGTATTTTCTGTGTTGCAGGCCGGCCCACCTTCGCCCACGCCTCGGGCGACAGTGTTCGACGCACGCAGAGAGCAACAGAAGGCGAAGCCGCAATGGTACGTGCCATATCCTCATTACTTTTTCTACACTTCTGCACGCATTCCGAAGAACCTTCGATGCAAGTTTCAGTCATTACCGATGTTCCATGATCGGCGATATTTAACAAAGATCTACAGATCGCATTTTTATTTTTAATTTTTTAAATTTGTTTTTTACTTGTGCAAATGTATAACTTAGAAATCTACAAAGATCTTCATATCACATAAATAGCCATGGAATATATTTGATAGTAAAAACATCGGTAAGATAACTCAAAAAATATTGAATGAAGTATGCTATGCTATGTGTGTGCTCGAGAAGAAACCATGACTGCATTAATGATATAAGCGATGCATATTGACTAAGCAAGTACTGTAAGTGGTGTGTGAGGGTGAGTATTTCAGGTACCTGAGGGGGCGTGACTTCGATATGTCTGACAGAAAAGGTGTGATGAGATTGCTGTGTGAATGAACGCATAGGTGTTGCGTGTGTCGGAACAGTGGGAGTGGCTGATGTTATACTAGGATGGTGAGAGAGGGCATGAGTGTCGTTGGCGGCGTGTAAGGCAGAAGGGGGTGCGTGGACAATGTATGAACGTGTGTGTGTGTATGGGTTAAAGGTGTTTTGAGGAGGTGGCGGGCAGTGGGCGAAACTGCTGGCTTGGAGTGGTCAGTGTGAAACGAGGTGCCAGAGGATACGTGAGGGTAGTGGGGATATATAGATGCTTGCCTGAGAGATTTGTGAGGGTAAGTGTTTTGTAGGAACCTGAAAAATCGTCAAGACGTGGGCGTGGGTGGAGAAATGACGTGTTTCGAGTGAGGAGGTATGTTTTGCAGGTACCTGAGGAAGCAAGGTAGAGCTGGGGGAGGCTGGAGGATATGCATAGGCTGAGTGTGAGAGAAGGTTTTCTGCAAATACCGAAGGAGACATGAGGACGCCGGGTGAAAATGGATGCATGGAGTGGGCGGTGAGCGTTGCAGGTGCCTGAGAAAGCGTGAAAACGGTGATCATGGCCGGAGGAGTGGCTGGGCGGTGTGCGATGTGTGTGTTGCACGTGTTTCTGGATGCGAGAGAGTTGTGAGCGTGCCTGGTGGCGAGGGTGCCTCAGGAGGGATGGGAGAGGTAGACATATCTAGAGACGTGCTGTGAGCCATGTGAGGACGTGTATGTCGCAGGTGCAGGATATGGTATGGAAGTGGTGGGCGTGACTAGATGGTATGTGAAATAGTGTGTAAATTGTGCGGAAGCAGGTGTGAGAGCGGTAGGCATGTCTATAGGGGTGAAATGTGCCTTATGAAGGCGAATAAGTTGTAAGTGCCGGAGGAGACGCCGGGACGGTGGGCATGTCTAGGTGAATAGTGACGTGTGTGTTGCAGATGATGGATGAGGTAGGCATGTCTGGGTGACGTGTGAATGCACGACTGTTGCCGGTGCCGGAGGAGGGGTGGGCTTTTCTAGGCGAAGTGTGATGTGAGCTTTGCAAGTGACGGATGTGTGTTGCATATCTGGGTGGTGTGTGAATGTATGACAGTTGCAAGTGCTGGAGGAGGAGTGGGGGGGGGATGTCTCGGCGATTTGTGATGTTTGTTGAAAATGACGGATGAGGTGGGCATGTCTGGGTGAGGTGTGATGTGTGTTGCAGGTGGCGGATGAGGTAGGAACGTCTGGGTGAGACGAGTATGTATGTCTGTCGCAGATGCCGGAGGAGGCGCGAGAACAGTGGGCGTGGATGGGTGGTGTGTGTTGTGTGTGTTGCAGGCGCCTGCTGATGTCGTGACTGGCTAGCGTGTGAGTGTGTGTCTGTCGCAGGTGCCTAAGGAGGCGTGGGAGTGGTTGGTATGTCTGGCTAGTGTGTTAGT